ATGTCAAGACAGTCAAGGAATCATGAAAGTACACATTGCCATGCTCTGATCCACGCCATCTCGGCCTCGCGAAGATGAACATGGTATAGTCGTAGGTTAAGATCTGCCATGAGAATGCAGACTGTTGATGTGTAGGAAAGTCCTAGTTGCAGATCGTCTACGGACAGACGTCTCATGGGACTCGGCTACGGAAATCTGCACTCTGGTGACGTTTAAAGGGCTGCGCATGCTACGTGTTCGACCTGAAGTGGTCATTTTTTAAAGAACTTTTTAGTTCTGATTCGTTATAGACCAAACTGACGTTACTTCTCTACTCATGATGCCAAAGGTCTTGAGGGTACCTGAACATTCTCTTCATGCCATGCGAAGAACTTACGGAGTGTCAGGGATGGTGAGTTTGTGGAGAGGTAATGTTCAATACAAAAAGCTCTCTGCTCTTTTCTAAACGTATCCATGATCTCAGCAGGCAAACAAAATTTGGGAAAAGTAATATCTGCAGACTTCTGTTGACTTGTTAGACTGCTGTAGCTTGCAATATGGCGCGATTGTTGCAACTTTTAGTGGTATGCCTAATGCGAACTGGTGCGTCATTCTATGAAAATGGCGACAAGGTTGAAAATGGGTTGTTTTTTCAATGGGCTATATAGAGCAAAACCATTCAATGGACTTATCTAAAATACATATCAGAAAAATTCCTTTTGGCTTCCAAACGTTATGTTCAAATCTGAAACGCAAAACGTCAGTATGGAGGAAGATATTTACAAAACAAGTTGTAAAGTTTTTTTTGCCTGTATATGACCTTATTGTGTTGCAAGTGCCGTAAAGCACTAACTAACAAAAAATAAATAATTTTTTTTAAAAACATGTTTTGAACGAGCAACTCCATTGCCCCAAAACTGACGAGCGCTTGATTCCACCACGTTGTGGCACTTAATATACACGGTACAACAGTTCAGCGTGTGCACAGCATCGCTCACTTGTACAGTTAACCCTATCCGTACGTCGTGTTTTACTATCATATCCATACGACATGGGGAACTCTGTATCACCACTTTCCAAAGAGGTAATTTACTCGTTATTCCGATCCGTACGCTTTGCTTAGCAGTCTGTGTAAATGATTTTTTTGGAGAAATACTGAAAGTTTCAAAGAGATCATTGCGCTAGAAGTATTCTAAAATGTGAAGAACACAACCCCGGGGGTACAAAATGACCCCTAGGGCGTACGGATAGGGTTAACACCTATATGCTCATAACAAACATCTACGAAATCCCAGCCAATCCATTATACCTGTAATTTGGGTGGTTGGCGGGTGCTGTGATTTGGTTTGCTCTTTCTTTGCTATCAAATATCTATTGATCTTATCTCTCCTTCTTCTTTTTTTGTATTTGTTACTCTCTTGTAACACCCCTAGTCTTAGCAATTACTTGTAACTACGAAACATATTTTTCTTCTTTTTTTCTTTAAAAGAAAGGGGGGGGGGGCACAGGATGTGTAAAACAGTGGGCAAGAATTGGCGCGTTAGGATTTATTTAATTAATTTGTTGGTTGTTTCATTTTTTAAAGTTGGGGTGGACTTACTTACTACCCGTTACGCCATCTGGCGTTTAGGGCAGCAACAAAGGATCTCCAGCTCTGTCTGTTTTGGGCCATCTTGGTCAACGTCCCCCACGAATGGTTCAAGGACTTCATTTCAAACTCTACTGTGCGTCTCCAGGTCACTTTGGGTCTGCCCCTCTTGCGATGTACTTCGGGTGTCCAGTGGAGGGCAGTCTTCACAATAGAGTCTGGCTCTCTTCTCAGAACATGTCCAATCCATCTCCATCTTCTCCTTTTTATTGTGGTGGTCATGTCCTCTTGCCTACATTTTCGTAACAGATCTGCGTTGGAAATCTTGTCGGGCCAGAAGATTCGGAGGATTTGGCGTAAGCTGGTTGTATGAAAGGAAGATAGCTTGACCCGGGTCATTATCAGTCATCCTCCAGCATTCAGCTCCATATAGGTTTGAGTGGAACTAAGTTATAATTACTTCAGGGGCTTTTAACGTCTTGTGTGTGGTTAGCGGTAGTTCAAGTGTGGTTTGCTCCTTCCTTCCTATGAAACATAATACTTATTACATAGTCTTTATCTCTTCATTCTTTTTTTCCTTTATATATTAATCTCCAGTTATACCCCCCCCCCTGGGGCGGTGCTACTGACTGTCAGGAGTGTCTTAAGGTCATTCCCAAAGGGGAGACATTAACCATGTTCTTATGCACAGTAGAATTGTCAATTGTAAATAGGCTGATTCATCAATGTCATACTCATAACTGTGCCTGTACTGCAACAGGGAACTGCTGCTTTTTCTTTCCTAATCCTTTTTATCGTCATTTTTCTTCTGCTTCTTTTGTATGTTTGTCACACTCTGCTATTTCTTGGGTGCCTTGATAGTCGAAGCAGACTTTGTGCAGTTGAAGCTAGAGAGCAGAGTAAACCTAATTCCCTGTAAGGACTTCTCTGTTGACATCTACCCCTTGGCGCTCATATGACCTCATGCAGTTGCGAGCGCTGTAAAACCTCACCTTAAACAATCAAATCTCCAGTTACCCCTCTAATCTTTGGCACTTCAATGAACTAGCTGTGTTGTAAGTGCTATAAAACTCTTACCTCAACTAAACACCTAAAACTAAATTAATGATGTCTGACTGCTCGTGGAACTGTGGGGTTCGCGTCTACTGCACGTCAGAACACACGAAACCTCACACTCATACGACCCCCCCCCCCTCTTTCTTTTCCAGGGAAGTGCTACGGACTGAAAGTGTCTTTAAGCCATTCCCAAAGGGGGGATATTATTATTAACATGTTCTTGTGCACAGTAGAATTGTAAATGGGCTGATTATCAATGTCGTGCTCATACTGTTCCGAAATAACATAGGGAGAGCTGCTGCTTTTTCTTTCCTCATCTTTACTATTGCCATTTTTACTTCTACTTCTTTTGTATGTTTATCACTCCACTCTCTTGTGAACTGCTATTTCCGAGGTGCTTTGATGGTCGAAGTAGACTTTGTGTTGTTGAGGCTAGAGAGGTGAGGAGAGTAAGCCTGATTCCCCGTTTGGATTTCTCTGTTGACATTCACCCCTTGGTGCTCATATTATGACCTCATGCAGTTGCGAGCACCGTAAAACCTTATTTTTAAAAAGAAAAAAAAAACAACCACTCACACAGCACTAAAAAAACTAAAAGGGGGGGTTATGAGTCAAGGGGCACAACTCAGTAATTATATTAGTAAATGAAGGGAAGGTGAAGTATGCTCCCTTTATTTGCCCCAAAACCCTCAAGTGGGCGTCTTCGTAATTGTGTGGAGTTCGAGATCACCCGGTTAATCATTATAATGATAGTGATTGTGATAGTGATCAATCGACAGACAGACAGACAGACGGACAGACAGATAAGATAGATAAGATTAAGATAGCATTTGTAAAGCGCAAATTTCCGCTCAACAGCAAGCTGTGCGCTTTACAATCTATATTGTTGCCCCAGCAGACCTTCCCGGGAAGTATACGGTATACGGGAGTGATATGAATCATTTGATTTAGTGCACTGCTCTGAAATGCGTCTAGTTAGTGCTGTACGAGCTCGTTATCCTCTTAGAGTGTGAGTGAGGGAGTGAATGAGTGAGTAATTGAGGGAGTGAATGAGTGAGTAATTGAGGGAGGGAGTGAGTGAGTGAGTGAGGGAGGTCTCAAAAGTGGGTGCAGGCTAGAAAGAGATTGCCACACACAGCTGGACCCAGTATCGGATATCACAGCACCACTATACTATACTTATGTAAAATTAGTCGCTTTTAAGGACAAGCAGGCTAACCCAGATTTCGGGGATTTACAGAAATCTTGACCTACACCAAAAGTGGGCATTGCCCTCCCTGTAGAGGAGACGTTTGGTTTCATTGGTGTGTATATTTGTTTGGTTTTAGAGAAAACTCTCCTTGTCTTTTAAAGAAACTGAACAAGGGGCGAAAACTTTACCTTCGATTTTCTCAAACAGCATTTTAGGGGATAGCCCCCTTGTGCTTAAAAGCGACCAATTAGAGTAGAAAGGGGGGTGATTGATTTACATACAAAAAATATAAATAAAAATATTTCATAAATGAGTTTTATCTATCAAATGGGCTAAACGCTTCCAAACGTAGGATTTCTCAACAAAATTACGAAATCACCCATTCGTAGCATTGCTGTTATTGGTGAACACAATGGATGCTGTTAAACAGGTGCATATTCTTTACTGGCGGAATTCAATGTATTACAAAAAAGGAAAAACATTCTGGACCCCCACCCCCACCTCCTCCCCATCTCTCTCTCTCTCTGTCTTTCTCTCTCTCTCTCTGTCTCTCTGTCTCTCTGTCTCTCTGTCTCTCTGTCTCTCTCTCTCTCTCTCTGTCTCATTTTCCTTGTCTCCTTCGTCCTTTCCACCTCTTTCAACCCAGCCCCACCCCTTCCTCTTTTCTGTGCAGGCATCCCCCCCCCCAATAACATTCTATCAAAGTAATGTAAAAATCGCTGTTCGCGGAGATCTGACAATAGTCGACCATCTTCACTCTTCATCTTGCCAGGCCGCTCGTGGAGCGGCGAAGAAATAAGAGTCCCATTTTGTTCTAAGGTCCTTGGTCACACTGCAGGCGCGTAAAGCGGAGCGGGCAAAGCGATAAAAATTAATACAAAGGGAAAGAGGTGACTGGCCACGCCAAGACGAAAGAAAGCGATCCGATAGCGGTTTATTTTACTGTCGCTGAAATTTACCCATGTCTACACGCACGTTGTTGTTGAGTGTTCAAAAAAGAAATCAATTAAAATCAAAGAGAGAGAGAGAGAGAGAGAGAGAGAGAGAGAGAGAGAGAGAGAGAGA